CTGGGACCAGCCGAGACTCGGGAGACCCAGGAGTGCTGGACGGAACCAGCGGAGATTCAGGAGACTCAGGAGACTCAGGACAGCTGGACGGAACCAGCAGAGATTCAGGAGACTCAGGAGAGCTGGACGGAACCAGCAGAGATTCAGGAGACTCAAAAGAGCTTTCTGGAGCGGACTCTGGAGAGCATTCTGCAACGCAAGCCACCACCTCGGGAGGAGCTGGGCTTACTAGAGTCATTGGAACTGATAAAGGCACTCCTGGCCGTGGCGATGGAACTGGAGTCATTGGAACTGGGAACGGCACTGCTGGCCGTGACGAGGGAACTGGAGTCATCTCAGGACTGAACCCAGGGATCGGAGCCATCACTAGGCTGTGTTTGGGGACTGGAGCCACTTCTGGGCTCCAAGACATCCCCTCATACTCCACCAGTACTCCTAGGGGAACAGGTGCGGCGGCCATTTTGGACGAGGGCTCAGGTGCAGGTGTGGCGGCCATTTCGGGACGAGACTCTGAGTGAGGAAGTCTCAGATGGGGAAACTTCTTCAATACCTTCCAGAGGGAAATAACCGCAGGATCTGCCTCTTTTGCTCCCAGGTCAGCGCTGTTTGAAACCTCCTTCCTGCCTCGGGGAAACACGGGTGGATAGGAGTGGATAGAACCATTGGAGATGCATGTGGAGGGTGCTGGTTGGTGGTGAGCTGGAGTGCCCACACGCTTCTGGATAGGAATCGAACGACTCTCTTCATTAACTACATCAACAAAGAAATACGAATCATTTAAATCGAGGAGGTAATTAATAAAGACCACTACGGATCTATAACCAGGGCCATCCTTAGGGGGGTGCAACTGGTGCGGTCGCACCGGGCCCTGCGGCAAATGGACAGAGGGGTACACCCCACCTCCCTCCCTGGAACGCGATCGCGAACAGACCGAGAGGGACTCCCCCCCACCGCAACACACTAAAAAAGGTGTCCATAACAACTAATAGGATGTAGCAAATACAAAAAAGCGCTTTTTTTTTTTTATTATGTGATCACAGATCAAAACCTAGATGTGCTCTGTTTGACAGAAACATGTCTAAAACCAGATGATTACATTACTTTAAATGAGTCTACTCCCCAAGATTACTGTTATAAACATGAGCCACGTCCAAATGTTAAATGGGGGGAGGTGTTGCTACAATTTATAGTAATATTTTCAGTATTTCTCAGAGGACTGATTTCAAGTATACTTCGTTTGAAGTAATGGTACTTTATGTAACATTATTTAGTGTAATAAGTGTTCATGATAAATGCCTATTGACATTTGTACTGGCTACTGTATACAGGCCACCAGGGCACCATACAGATTTTATCAAATAATTGACAGATTTTCTATTTGAGTTAGTGCTGGCTGTAGATAAAATCTTAATTGATGGAGACCTTAATATCCATGTTGATAATGAAAAAGATGCATTGGGATCAGCATTTATAGACATTCAAATCTCTATTGGGGTTAGACGGCACGTGTCAGGACCTACTTATTGTCGTTATCATACTCTATATTTAATACTGTAACATGGAATTGATGTTAATGGCGTTGCAATTCTGCAGCAGAGTGATGATATATCAGATCATTATCTAGTCTCGTGTATAATCCATATAGCTAAAGCTGCAAATTCAACTCCTTGTTACAAATATGGTAGAACCATCACTTCTACCACAAAAGACTGCTTTGTAAATAATCTTGCTGATTTGTCTCAATTCCTTAGCAAATCCAATAAATCAGAAAAACTTGATGTTATAACAAACTTTTTGTTAATTTATGTTTTTGATGATGTCATTACATTAATTCAAGTCACTTTTTAAGGCTATATTAGTAGGCATACTACAACAAACCTGTTTAAGGCACCTTTAAACATACAATAATGTCCATCCAACACACTATAAATTTCAGTTTGTTAACTTTAGTATTTTCAATACTAAAGTATATTTAGTATATTCAAATTTATGATCTTGAATATACTAAGTAACCTTAACTAGATTTTTCTGAGGCAATAAGTTTGCAAGATTTTTTCAAGTGACATTAACATATTCAAATTTACAGTGCAGGTGTATTTTGTTGTCACATTTGATAAGAGACCAAATGATATGTTATTGACGACTGATAAATTGACTTTTGATAAACTACTGTATTTAAGGGTAACAGGAAATGAATGGTTTGGAATGGAATGGCAAATTATTCCATTTGGAAAGCTTATTACAGCATGACATCTCTGGCACACAGTTATTAAAGTGAAAATAATCAAAATTCAGTTGCTGATCTGCAGTTCACACTTGATCACAGGCAGAGCAGGAACTCCATGTTTTTATGTCTAATATGCACAGTGCCGGTCCTAGATTTCTGGGGGTCCTTAGCAAAACTTTGTCAAGGGCCCCTGTCAGTGCATTCATAATAACCCCAAAACAACCCCTGGATCTGTTCTTTCAGAGCAGTTTGTATGTCAACAAACAACAGTAAATTAAATTGCCTCTATTATGCCATTTTTAAGGTTCCTAATATTGTTTTGGAATCTCCTACAATAGGTTTACATGCATGCAAGGTAAAAAAATTCTTTCATTTTCTCAAAATATGCATTTAATATCACCTCATTTTCTAATGATTCTCAAACTAAGCAGTTCTAAGATTCAGTCTCTCTAAGCCCCTCCTTTCCGTGAGCTTACTCTGCTCTGATGGCCCAGTCTGTTGTGATTGGTCTACCGTGTACAGTGTGTGTTGGAAACGATACGGCCATTGCCATAGTTGCGTATTTTGAATGCTCAATAGAAAATATAAACATCTATTATTTATCATACTTTAAGGTTGTGATCCAGTGGAGCCAGCTGGTCAAATAAACTGGGTACTGAGCTGTCTTTCAAGAGCAAGCGTTTGTGAATCCCGCGTTGAACTCCCCGAGATTTGAGAATAATCTGCAGTCGTCAGTAAAAAGACGGAATTTTAAAATGAATTTTAACCACTGATTTTTTGCAGCCTCATCTTTCAGAAGTGAAAATAAAATGAATTTACTTTCATAGCGTCTTCTTGACATGATGTTAACCACACGGTGGCCAGCAAGCATAGAAAAAAGTCGAAGATTAAGCAATTGTGTTACCCAGTGATGTGTAGCCGTCACGGAAGTGGGATTCGAATTACTGACAACTTGTTTAGGCTGTTCAGAGTCGATTTTTTCTGGTCTGAGACAATAACTTATATATAGTGCACTTTTGGCTTTTCAACTTAGCAGATCGTTTATATTCACATAAAGCTACATTACATGCTGCATGAAAGGCAATATTCGAAATGGCATAATAGGGGCACTTAAAACAGTCATTAATACAATAAAAAAGAGGACAATTGCAAACAATAGGACAAATACAATAGAAAAATAACTTGGATTCTTATTAAAGTTACTAAAGTTATTCAGTGAAGAGCAGTGAATGATTCTTTTGTTGTTTGATTAACATTAAATGACAAAGATGGCAGCAGGTTTTTTAGGCTGCTTCCCCTTTAAGACAGAATGCACAGATCTAATACTGTAATACCCAACTGTGTATATTCACTTAACAAAACTGACTGTGTTTAAATAAAAACTCAACAAGATAGACATATTTTGACTTTTTTTTTTGTGCATTTATCCGTTTAAGCACACGTCCAAAGTAGCCTATACTTACTCTGCTCTGATGGCCCAGTCTGTTGTGATTGGTCTACCGTGTACAGTGTGTGTTGGAAACGATACGGCCATTGCCATAGTTGCGTATTTTGAATGCTCAATAGAAAATATAAACATCTATTATTTATCATACTTTAAGGTTGTGATCCAGTGGAGCCAGCTGGTCAAATAAACTGGGTACTGAGCTGTCTTTCAAGAGCAAGCGTTTGTGAATCCCGCGTTGAACTCCCCGAGATTTGAGAATAATCTGCAGTCGTCAGTAAAAAGACGGAATTTTAAAATGAATTTTAACCACTGATTTTTTGCAGCCTCATCTTTCAGAAGTGAAAATAAAATGAATTTACTTTCATAGCGTCTTCTTGACATGATGTTAACCACACGGTGGCCAGCAAGCATAGAAAAAAGTCGAAGATTAAGCAATTGTGTTACCCAGTGATGTGTAGCCGTCACGGAAGTGGGATTCGAATTACTGACAACTTGTTTAGGCTGTTCAGAGTCGATTTTTTCTGGTCTGAGACAATAACTTATATATAGTGCACTTTTGGCTTTTCAACTTAGCAGATCGTTTATATTCACATAAAGCTACATTACATGCTGCATGAAAGGCAATATTCGAAATGGCATAATAGGGGCACTTAAAACAGTCATTAATACAATAAAAAAGAGGACAATTGCAAACAATAGGACAAATACAATAGAAAAATAACTTGGATTCTTATTAAAGTTACTAAAGTTATTCAGTGAAGAGCAGTGAATGATTCTTTTGTTGTTTGATTAACATTAAATGACAAAGATGGCAGCAGGTTTTTTAGGCTGCTTCCCCTTTAAGACAGAATGCACAGATCTAATAGAGTGACAAGCATTCGATTACTTTCCCAACTGTGTATATTCACTTAACAAAACTGACTGTGTTTAAATAAAAACTCACCAAGATAGACATATTTTGACTTTTTTTTGTGTGCATTTATCCGTTTAAGCACACGTCCAAAGTAGCCTATACTCGTCCGTGTTTCGCTCTGTCTTGGATTGTGTGCAAAGAAAGCCACCTAGGAAACAGCGTCTCTTTCGCAGCCAATATGCTTTTAACTCTCTCTCTCTCTGTCTCCCTCTCTTTTAGTATCAAGCACGTCCTGTCATGTTACATCATGGGTGCCCAAACTCGGTCCTGGAGGGCCGGTGTCCTGCAGAGTTTAGATCCAACCCCAATTAGACACACCTGAGCCAGCTAATCAAGCTCTTACTAGGCATACTAGAAACTTCCCAGTAGGTGTGTTGAGGCAAGTTGGAGCTAAACTCTGCAGGACACCGGCCCTCCAGAACTGAGTTTGGGCATCCATGTTACATGATCCGCCTGGTTTGGATGTTATGTAGGAAGGGCCACAGGCACCGTTTTAAAGGAAAGGAACAGAATATGGCATCGTGATTTCATAATCATCAGAAGCCAAAATCAAAACCAAAACTATCAATTGCACAGCCCTAGTCATTAAATCATCTTTGAGAGCAAGGGGGCACCCTTGTGGGTTGGGGGCCCTACGCAACTTGCGTCCTCTGCGTATAGGGAGGATCAGCACTGGATATACATGTATGTAAACTTCAGATGTTAAGACACCTTTGATCATTCTATAAGAAATGCAGCTCAATGTATTATTTAGCAAATAAACTTGACCTCAGCCGTTGCTTTCCTGTGTACATTCATCAGTGTGTACAGCTCAGGTTACATTTTTTATGTATTTTTATGAGCTTTTTTTTATGTACAATCAGGTAGCAATCATTATAATCACCATCCATGTAGGGATTTTGGAAAAAAAATCCCTTTCTGTGAACGCAGAGAATGTGATTTGGTTTGCTCATGAATGACCCAACACTACAAAGTGCATGAGGACAGCAGTTTGCATAGACACATAAAAAAACAACAAGAACAATAATAAAAAATATTCACACCATTAATAAAAACACAGTTGTCTTTTGATAGTCTTTGCGTTAGGGCAAACAAGATTAAAATGGAAAAACTGGGGGCTTTCAAATTTCAAACATAAGGGATTTCATTTAAGTGTGGCGGGGTTCACAATAGAAGATGAAACATGGTATAGCCTATCACAAAAAAGTGTTTTCAGTGTACAGTGGTGTCTTGAATGTGCTTATGTAAATATGGCAAGGCAAGGTTTGAGACAGGCAGCTCTGAAGCGGCACGATGACACACAAAGAGAAATGTGAGCATGTACTCTAGTGGTGTGAGACTGAAGTAGAAGTGCAGAAGCAATATTGTAACACAAGCATAGTGATTTATTATTCTAATGAAATATTAGTCAGATTTTTCCTAGCTTCCTTAAATATCTGAGTATCTCTACAATATTAGAGATTGTAAGGGAAACAGGCAAATTTAGCTCAAAGGGAATTATTTATGAATTTATAGGGAATTTGGAAAGAATCACTGTTTTACGGCTGATCAACTGAATCGGCCAGCAATTCACTGAACGGACCGTATAACATCAACACTGCAATGGATATTAATATCCAAAGTATAGTGAAAGACTATTTCTTAGCACAGTAACAAGATCGGCAGTTTAAGACATTAACATGTAAGCACAAAACACAAGATACTTCTCTTTTCAATATGAATATAAAATACTTTATTGGACAAATCTAAGACATATAAACTAATCTAACACAAAAACACACGCACTCGCACAAGTTGCAGAAAGAGAGAAAGTGAGGAAAGAATGAGTTTAGGAGAGGGAAAATGTGAAATCCCAATTTATAGCAATATGTGCAATTGCTTAGACCTGAACAACCATCAATCACTTAATTAACCCTTGCATTGAGTTTCTCAATAAGGCTATTAAGCTTTATATTAAATGCACCAGTTCAGCTAGAATCTGGAGGTTGTACTTGCATTTCCTGTGTTAGTGGATTTAATCCGTGGATTAACTCTGTTGAGGGTGGCATCCGCTGAAAGGGGGTTTCCCAAGGTTGTTGATTGGCTGGAGGTTCAGTAGTCGTTCGAAGTGACGTATTGGGGAGCCAATCGTTGGGCGTTGGCTGAAGAATGATGCGGAGTTGTGGGCTGGTTGAAGTTTTGGCGGCGGGCACCGACAAGGTTGAACTCAGACACGGCTTTGCGAAAAAACTCAACTCAGAACACAAAACTCTCAACGGAAAAGAAAAGAAACTTAAGTGAAAGAAAGAAAGAAAAGTGTGACGAGACTAGATGGCGTATCTCCTCATGGTAGAGGAGCACCTGGCATGTAAGCCAGAGCACGCTCAAAGAGCGCTAAAAATCTTACGGCAAAGGCAGCGACAAAAAGCAATTTTAAGACATACCAAACATGAATATAAAGACGTGGCCTAATGGTTAGAGAGTCGGACTTGTAACCCAAAGGTTGCGGGTTTGAGTCTCAGGTCCGGAAGGAATTGTCGGTGGGGGGAGCTCTCTCTTCCACCCTAAATACCACGACTGAGGTGAGACCCTTGAGCAAGGCACCGAACCCCCAACTGCTCCCCGGGTGTCGCAGCAATATGGCTGCCCACTGCTCTGGGTGTGTGTTCACTACTGTGTGTGTGCTCTTGTATGGGTTAAATGCAGAGCACAAATTCCGAGTATGGGTTGCCACACGTCACTTCACTTAAACCTATAAACTATTTAATAGTTATTCAAAAAGACATACACAATGAGTGATTACGACATGACAGTCAAATGTGTGGGTTACATACATGATATGGAGTAATGTATAGCAATGATATTTGCTCATAAGTCCTTTTAGCATCATTTTGGTGCATATATATGTGTAAAGGCAGTCTCTGTGCCGTTCTGGGAACTTGAGGATGGGTTCTGTGACGATCAAAAGGTCTAGAAGGAGCCTGGTCTTTGTCCTTAGTGGGGGAAACCCAAGGAAGTCTTTAACTCGTGATTTTTCTCATGGATTAACTTGTGATGATCATGGTGTCTCTTCGATCATTAATCTTGGTAACTTGCCCCAAATTTGACAAACTCCTTCCTGAGTTGAAATGATCAATAAGTGTTCTTTTGTTTTAATGCTGTGTGCTGTTCAAAGCTGCGAAAGAGTTGGTTGGTTAGGCTTGCTTCAGACTCGTGTTGCCAGGATCCTGGACGGATTTATGACATTGTCTTGTTATCCTGGGCCTCTATGTGGAATTTGGCTCTTTGTGTGTTTTTTTTTTTTCAACACCGTTCTGATCAAATTTTTAATTGTCTGATACGCTACAAGATCCTGCTGAGCAATGTCTTGTTATCCTGGGCCTCTATGTGGAATTTGGCTCTTTGTGTGTTTTTTTTTTTTCAACACCGTTCTGATCAAATTTTTTATTGTCTGATACGCTTACAAGATCCTGCTGAGCAGTGCAGACTTTTTAATTCTCACCGTCCCTCTGAAAATCGTAGTTTTAGATCTTTTCTCATTTTCTCTTCTGCTGGCATATTGTCCATCACAAGCGTATTTTGTTGTCACATTTGATAAGAGGCCAAATGATACATTATAGACAACATACTGTATTTAAGAGTAACAGGAAATTAATGTTTTGGACTGGAATGGAAATTATTACATTTGAAGAGCTTATTAGAGTATGACATCTCTGGCACAGTTTTTATTGCGAAAATAATCAAAATTCAGCTGCTGGTCTGCGGTTCACATCTGGGAGAGCAGGAACTCCATGTTCCTAACCTTCAGATGTTGGCCATGTTGAAATGTTATACTGTATCATTCATACAAATAAATGTTCTTTATTGGCATTGATGGTTGATTGAAGAACCTTTAACATCCATGGAACCTTTCCATTGCACAGAAAGTTCCTTGTAGTGGAAAAAGGTTCTTTAGATTATAAAAATGTTCCTTACACTAAGAAAAAAAAATGGTTCTTTTAAGTACTGACCACTGAAAGGTTCTTTGGGGAACCAAAAATGACACGGGAGGTTTTTGTAGTGATGCAATACAAGAGTCATTTTTGGAACCTTTATTTTTATGAGTGTTTCAGCTGCTATATTTAATATTAGGTCTGCCACCATGCGACATTTGGGACATCTGAATGTAGTTTAAATACAGTAAAGCACTGATTGGTATGAATTTGTTGTCACTGACATAGCTAATAGTTGTCACACAATTTCTCAATATTTTAAAAAGTAATGAGAAGTTGAAATTAGGGAAAGTGTCAAATCAGTTATGTGGCAAAAAACGAATTCATTTTTTTTTGCTCCCTCTTCATTTTCTCTCTTTCTGTGATTGCAGGAAAGCGGTGAAGGCCACTCTAGTGCTTCTGCCTTTACTCGGTATCACATACATGCTGTTTTTTGTGAACCCAGGCGAGGATGACATATCTCAGATTGTATTCATCTATTTCAACTCATTTCTCCAGTCCTTTCAGGTCAGTCATACATTATGTCTGTACAGAGATCTTCACGCGCATATTACTCTACCCATCACATTTCTACAACTGCAGTTCAGAGAAAATTATGGTGAAAATGAAAGATAGTTATTGTAATATTTGCTTTGAATTTAAGTACCTCATAGTTGACCAATACTAAAGCCACTTTGAATCCTGTAATTCAGGGCTGCAATAATAATTACTACTACTACTACTACAGCAACAACAACAACAACTGCTAATTACAAAAATTTATAGTATAATCAGTACTAATCATGAACATGTACAGTACTGTGAGGGTTCTTGTTCTCCCTTTTTCTGCCACTCTTATTTCCCAACAAACCTGTCTTCTTTGATCCATGTTCCCAAAGAAAATAATTTATGAGACATCCCTGAAAGACACTGAAATATTGCAACAAAGCTAAAACAGGACACATGTGTAGGCTTTCAGCTGAAACTGCAATTAGCTGTGTTTGGAATGATTATTATTTCATTTTATTGTAAATGTTCTGCTAAGATATATAAGATATATAGGCTAACATAATTACTGATTGCACATAATAAAAAAAAAAAAGTGCTGCAAATATACACTACCATTCAAACGTTTGGGAGAGGTAAGATTTATGCAATGTTTTTTAAAAGTCTTTAAAAAAAGTAATATTGTGAAATATTATTACTATTAAAAGTAATGTTTTTTTTCTAATTTATTTCAAAATAAAAGAAAATTAAAATATATAAAAATAAAAAATATATATGTTTCTGTGATGGAAAGGCAAGTTTTTTAACATCATTACTACAGTCTTCGGTGTCACATGGTACTTCAGAAATCATACTCATATGCTGATTTAGCGCTCAAATAATAAATGGTACTTCAGAAATCATACTCATATGCTGATTTAGCGCTCAAAAAAAAAAAAAAAAGCCTATTACATCTTTTCCCCAATTGTTTAAACAATAAAATTGGAACTTGAAATGCAATTACTAAAATCTGAAATTTATCTACCAAATCAGTCTACGGAATTTGCTAAATTTCTGTTTTACGCTCAGTTCTTAATTCCATATAACGTTTTTTGTTTTTTTTTGCAAAACACCACACAGTTCTCGATATTAAACTCAGATTCAAATTCATATCTCAAATTCAAATCAGATTCAAAATTAAAATCTCACAGTCACAGAAAACACAATCTTCCTGAATGTACTGTATATATATTTTCTAACATGTAATGGAAACATTTGGTTTAATTGCCAGAACACAACAGTATTATCTTCTTTAAGTTTAATACTTTAACAGACAGTTAATTCAGTAGCTAACAATGGTGGTAACTGTACTGTAATTTAGTATACACAGTTATCAATAGATATTACTCTTACATTATCTAACCAAAATGACAAAAGCCATTATATATATATATATACACACATATACACACACACACACACACACACACACATATATATATATAGAGAGCAAGCAAGCAAAACGTGACCAAAGAACACTTCAAAAGGCATTGTGTGCAGGAAAAATATTTTACAGTGTTTTCACAACAATACTTCTGTTGCATTTTGAAACAAAATAAATTTACAGTAAACACTTTGTTATCATTAAGCCTGTCTTCAACATTTGGCCATAAATTTTCATCAACATCACAGTGAATATCCTCATTCATGTACTGTGAGAAAAATAATCCAGGCTTAACATTGCTCTGAATTTGTCATTACAAGCCTTCCACCTCCTTGTAGAGAAGTATTACTCTATTTGATTGAGGAAAGGGGAATATGGTGTAAAATAGAGACTCTTGAACTGAGGATGAGCCTGAAACTATTTTTGATAAAGCTCTGCATGGTGGAAACTGACATCGTCCCACGTAATAATATAACCAATATATTCATCCTGACGGGCCTGCTCAAGTTCATTTAGAAATGTTAGAGTGTTGTATGATCTAAGAACTGCTCTACAGCCTGCCACAGTATATTCACATATAGCCACACACAATGAGTTGTTTTCCTCACATTGTCCAGGCACTTGGATGCTTGCCTGTTGGCCAATTAGGTTATGCCCACAGCATGGTTTTTGGCAGACTGAAACCCTCTGCAAAGAATAGTTGACATTGGTAGTGTGTAGTACAGTACTGTAAAAAGCATTTCTCACATTCGTAAAAAATTAATGTATGATACACCACAGCGCTGTACCTTTAAAGGGATAGTTCACACAAAAATTAAAATTTGCTGTTAATTTACTCACTCTCAGGCCATCCAAGACTTAGGTGACTTTTTTTCTTCAGTAGAACAGTAAAGAAGAGTTTTAGCTGAAACTGTGGTCCACTGTGATTCATAAAATGCAAGTCAGTACCTACATGTTTTTGAGAATAATAATTAAAAAAACATATCAAGGAGCACAAAATTAATCCCTGTGGCTCCTGCCGATATATTGAGGTCTCATGAAAAGAAACAATCAGTCTGTGCAAGAAACTGAACATTATTTACAACATTATTACCTTTAATCCTTAATTCTTTTTGGTGAACTAATTGAACCAGTTTGAATGGTCATTGCTTTCCTCGAGAACCTGCTTTATTTCAGACAGCCGTATGCTATTCTTTTCCCTGACCATTTCCACCACAGCCGATTCCTGCTGTTCAGTCAGTACACGTGAGCGGCCAGCAGGTTGTCTCCTGTCGGTTCTGAGAGTAAAAGACAATATGTTGTAAATGTTACGACTATAAATTATATATTATTGTGTGACAATTACATTTTGCTCACTATTCTATACAGTAATGCCATTTACTGTACTGCAAAAGTATTGTAAATTGTTCCTGTAGCAGACTTTTCTTGGCTAAATGTTCTGATGATGGAGCTGACAGCTGATCTTTGTAGGTTAGTTTGAATTAATTTGGCAGCTTCTGCCATGCTTCTGTTAACCACATGGTCAATGATGGACTTCATTTGAAATGACAGTATGCTGCTTTCTGCCTACATTCCTCTGATGATCACTTCTTTGTTGAGGCCCACGGCTAGGGACGCCTGCAGGATTCTCATCCATGGTACGCCAAAAAAAAAACAAAAAAAACAACAACAACATGAAAATAGCTGTTTTACAACCACCTTAATTAAAACTTAGTCCCACTGTAAAAAAAATAAAAATAAAAATAAAAAAAGGGTACAGTTGTAAAGTATAGGCTTTAACTGAGCTGTTTTATTACCACCATGCGTGACCACACCCATATTTTTTTCCCGAAGTGTATAATTAAATTACTGAAATAATTGCCTAATAATAACTGTACTTTGGTGCTGCAAAGATATTGTACAGCGCCATACAGTGTACAATGTTTTTGTCTGAGCTGATCAGCAGTCCAACAGTGCTTGTCAGTGTCAAAATGACTGAGATAATAAATCAAATCAAAGAAGGCAGGCTTTACTGTTACCATTTAACTGTGAGCATCATATCAGCACAACACCCAAACACGCCTATCAAGCTCAGTTTTTGGACCTCTGCATACTGCCATCAGCTCTTTGAATCAATAATGGGGTCCCACTTTATATTAAGTGACCTTAACAACTATGTACTTACATTTAAATTAATCATTTGGTCCAATGGACTTATTGTGTACATACATGTTTTTACATTGTACTTATATTTTAAAAATACCTGCATGTTTACCAAGCAAACCACTATGCTGCAATGGATTGAAATCCATACAAGTGGGCAAACTTACAAAATCAGCAGGGGATCAAATAATTATTTTCCCCACTGTACATGGTATATGTGATCATCAGTAAACTGTAATAATTAAGATTTATTGTAATTGGTCTCTCATGAGCACTAACAGCAATTACTCTAGTTCAGTGGTTCCCAAACCTGGTCCTGGAGTAAACCCAACAGTGCACATTTGGATGTTTCTATTCTGACCCAAGCATATCAGGTCTTAGAGCCCGTCCACACGGAGACGCGTTTAGCTGTATACGTAAAAAAATTGTATCGTATCGGCATTTCGTCCAGACGAATCCGGCATTTTGGGAACCTGAAACCTCTATTTTTTTAAACTGGGTCCCAGAGTGGATAAATCTGAAAACGACACTCTTGTGTCTTCGTGTGTACAGCCAATCCGTATATTTTGTGAAACGATGACGTCATCACCCCACGTTTCGACCCTAGTCAGACACCGCTACGTCACGTAACGGCAACAACAACAACAGTGGTGGACTACATGCTTGTGTTCGTGCTGCAGAAGTGACTGAGCCTATTAGCTTTACTAAAGCAAAATAAAAAATGACTAAAGCAAACATGTTTGTATACAGCGCGCAAGGTTTATGCACATGCTCCAAGTCTTCTTCTCCGTTTTTAGGGTATCTCTGTTGCAGAATTACTGCGCCACATATTGGTCTGGCATGTATACTACATCGTTTTGAGTCTTTCAGTGGTTTCGTGTGTACACAGATATTTCTTGAGACGACGCCGTGTTTATGGAATTTTTTTTAGAACGAAGAAAAAAAAATCGGATAGGGATTGCTCTGGCTTCATGTGGATGTGTCCTTAAAGTCCCTACTAACGAGCTGATGAGTTGAATCAGGTGTGTTTTGTTAGGGAGACATATAACGTTTAGAGTTGGAGGTACTTCAGGAGGACCTGGATTGGGAACCACTGCTCTAGTTTATACCTTACCAACACACAATCATCAGAGCAGATAAAAATCTATAGACAACTGCAAAGTTAAGCTCAAACACAATTGAACCAGCTAATTAAGATCTTCAGGAGCACTTGATAATTACAGAGAGGTGTGTTTGATTAGGGTTGGAACTGAAGTCTGCAGGTAGATAGTTCTCCAGGAACAGGACTGGGCACCCCAGTACTAAGAATTAAAAATATGCTGAAATGTTTAAAAATATATATTTTTAATGATCTGCTGTGGGATTAGTACTAAGATCATACTTAAGCTTATGATCAGGCATAACATCAGGACCACTGACAGGTGAAGTGAATAACATTGATTATCTTTTCATCACG